TTTTTTTAACTAACATGCATTTTTACTATTTACATAATATAATACTCGTACAAGAAGCGAACTTGAACAGATGCTTTTTAAGTTTTTAGCAACATTAACTACTGAATAAATTATATTTAACAAATGGTCATGCAGAAATGCAAATCAGCAATTCTAACTAATATAAAAGTACATTTAATATAATTTAACTATATTAATTTATTTAATTTTATAAAAAAAATATACATGAATACGTTTCTGCATTCACATGCAACCTAGCAACACATAGCCAGACACTTGCAACAAATATAACATTATCATAACAGAAATTTACATTTTTCTCTGTTAACTCTTCTTAAAATGTTAATCGCGCTGTGGTGATATTCCATGGATTTATTTTTCAGCCAAACAATTTTACGTTCCAAAAATTTGAACCTTCTCTATCTATCTAAGTTCTCTGGTATTAGGCGCAGTAGAGAATAACAATAGTCAGCAGCTGAGTTTTGCCATTGGCGTGGGAATAGGGCTCTTAACCATGCTGTCAGCAAAGCCATGAACCAATAATGCTGCCAAATTAACACTTATGCAGAGGTAGCAAAACTGTTGTATGAAGGAATTAGGTCCCTAACCGATTCGCCCAAATGTCAAAACTGTTCCTAGAACTGGAAAACTATCGATAGTTTTGGATAGTCGATAGTCACAACCATCGATAGTATCCATACTATCGAAAATGTCGACACTATCGATAGTACTATCAGTCCAAAAATTAAACATAACAACTTTTATGGAAAATGCATATATGTAATACTCCTATATTGGCAGTACGACCTAGTACCGTCCGAAAACACTACAGTACAGATATATTAATAAACACGTACGAAAGAAAAGGAACACATACGTTTATAAATAAACATGTACACAACACATATACGAAAACGGCACCCAAGTACACAATACATTGACGAAAACGGTACTAGACTGTCTCGCTTTGATTTCGGAATGCTAACACATTGAGAAGTTAGCTTACTGCCAATATAGAAGTATTACATATATGGGAAAATGATGCTTAAGTACTGTTACGATTATCCTCGAAACCTTGTTAAAAAAATGCTCGCGATGACCAAATTGGAGCACAATTAACTTTATTGTACAACAACAATTTACAATACTCGCTAATGCCGTAAAAAAACACTTTACAATACTCGTTAAAGCAATTACAACGCTTTACAAAACTTGTTAACACAATTAAACTTATAGCTTGCTTATTCGCAACTCACTTTACTTGTAGCTTGCTGACTTGTAACTCACTCACTCCGCTGTGTGGTGGCTCTTATATACCTGCGCTCGCACTCATGGCAACTCTAGAATGTTCTGAATGTTCTCATTCTCTTTCTCTCGCTGTTCGCAGTGTTCATCCAACTTGACGTTTCTCTTTGTGGAACATTCTACGTCATTCCTCGAACATTCTGCCTATTTCTCGTTGTTCGCTTCGCGTTTCCGTAGTATTCGCCACAATACGGTCATATTTTTGTTTAGGGACAAAGGTTTATCAACGATTTTTGGCTTCAAGCAGCATCTGCGCTCTGAAATTATTTGCCCTGCTTTGCTAAATGTCCCTTCCGATTTACAAGATGAAACAGGTACCACCGGCTTTTCCCCTTATACTAGGTTCACATATAACTAGATTATCCTCATTTTCGAGCTTAACTCCCTAATCTGTAATTAGAAAAATTCGTCTCTTGTTATTCTGTAATTATAAAATAATCTCAGATTTAACTGATAACTTTTCGTGCTTTTGTCGTTTATTTTTGCGAAGAAGAGGATAAATGCCAAATGTAAAAGTGAACAAAACTTGACGCTAGCAAGGAAAAGAGGTTTGTGAAGGTATATTTAATAAAATATCAAGTTAAAACATATTTAAATTGCTTTATATAGCAGAACAAAGTGATCACGGTGGCACAGAGAAGAAACATAACCTTTCCTTGAGATGTAAGAATAAGAAGCACAAAAAATTTGACGGCTAATAATCGGAGAATTGGAGAATTTGCCTGTGTAAACGGGGTGATTAAAAACGAGCTTTGATTCAGGTAATATTTATATGTGAACATACTTTTACTGAATATNATTTTTGGCTTCAAGCAGCATCTGCGCTCTGAAATTATTTGCCCTGCTTTGCTAAATGTCCCTTCCGATTTACAAGATGAAACAGGTACCACCGGCTTTTCCCCTTATACTAGGTTCACATATAACTAGATTATCCTCATTTTCGAGCTTAACTCCCTAATCTGTAATTAGAAAAATTCGTCTCTTGTTATTCTGTAATTATAAAATAATCTCAGATTTAACTGATAACTTTTCGTGCTTTTGTCGTTTATTTTTGCGAAGAAGAGGATAAATGCCAAATGTAAAAGTGAACAAAACTTGACGCTAGCAAGGAAAAGAGGTTTGTGAAGGTATATTTAATAAAATATCAAGTTAAAACATATTTAAATTGCTTTATATAGCAGAACAAAGTGATCACGGTGGCACAGAGAAGAAACATAACCTTTCCTTGAGATGTAAGAATAAGAAGCACAAAAAATTTGACGGCTAATAATCGGAGAATTGGAGAATTTGCCTGTGTAAACGGGGTGATTAAAAACGAGCTTTGATTCAGGTAATATTTATATGTGAACATACTTTTACTGAATATTGTATGTATGAGTGAAAACTATCGATAGTGCTTACAAAACCATCGATGTTTTCGATAGTCAAAAACCATCGATAGAGCCATCGATATTTTTCCATTTCTACTGTTCCCACTTAAAAACAGCAGCCGTTTGTAGTGCATAATTCTTTGTGATATTTTGTGTTTTAGCAATAAGTAATAAACATTTGCTTATTCTCTTTCAGTCAGCCCATTTTTTATTTTTATCACTTGTAGCAAACAATGCCAGAGCCACGCAGTCCCATGGAAAGGTTTTCCCAGTCGGTTCACAACATCATCGATGGGCCAGTTACATGGTTCAGAGGTAAGTGGCCTAATTCAATGCTCAGGAGTTAAAGTCTACGGGGTGGCGGAAAAAGTTAAACTATGTAAACTGAGAAACCAATTGCCAGTGTTATTATTACGTTTCCGGACCGCTTCATTACATAATAACATAACCTCAACCGCACCTAAACACTACGTACAATGGTTTGTTTACATTTTAAATAATGCTAGTTTGACTTCTATTTCGCAGAGTCGATTGTGGAACCAAATCAAAAGAAACAAGCGTGGTACCACCAAAGCTTTCGTCGAGTACCAACAATAGATGAATGCTACACTGATGATGCTGTTTGCCGCTTTGAAGCTGACCAACAATTCCGACGCGATCGAATGGTGGAAAATGAAATTCTATCAATCTTACGCCAACGCTTTGAAGATTGTATTTTGTATGAAGCACCCGATCACATGAAAAAATGCAAGCCAATTTTGGAGCAATACGAAAAGGCTGCTGAAAATTGGTTTATTAAATGTGAGTGGTCACTGTGTAACATATGTATGTGTATATATCGTTATGCTTGGATTTGTTTTTGCCTCGTTACAGATGGCGATTTAGGAGGCTACGCTAATGCTAAAAGTGCATATATGAAACAAAAGCATCGTTTGATCTGGGAGCGTCGCCATGGACCTGTTGGCAGTGGTATGAAATCGGAAGAATCGCCAGCAAACTCTGTTGCCGAAGAAGAGTAACCCTGCCGCTACAATAACATGGGAAAAATTTGGATCCAATTTATATTAACTATTTAAGTTGATATAACCATCTGTAAATGGTAACTTGTAGATTGAATTGAAACTAGAGCTGATACTTGATGAATTAATTAAATGAGCATGCTACTTTTAAGACTAAATTATGTTTTTTTTTTTATGTATTATATATATTATATATATATTATGTATGCATGTGAAATGGCTAGATTTTTTCTTAACATCAACAAAACTCAATAGGAACGATACCGGCCCTTTAACGAACTAAGGATTGTCGTGAAAAACAGTTGGCGCTAAAATGGAATTAATTTAACAGTTTTTAGTATTAAAATCAGAAGAAGCGCACTCGCCATCAATCCGCCCTTTGACAACATTGCGCGAGATGGCAAAAATGGTTTGCAAGAATTTTATAAAAACAAATACTACATTATAGTAAAACGCATTTCCTGAATATATAAAAATTTCCACGTTTATTCTTTAAGAATGAATTTCAAGTTTTTTTTTAAGTATTTTTTAAGTTCGCGAGTCCAGGTATTGAATTCCTCAGACTTTTTTTGCCATATACTCATTTTTTGACCTTAGCTAGTGCACCTGGCCGTGAACCATCGCTTTTCGTGCGTTTTTGTCCTTGGCGCTAAGAGGGATCATTGTGCTGCCATGCAAGCGTCTACGAAATAGCTCATAGAACTGAAGCACCTATGCATTAGCCAAACCTGTTTTGGATCGAAGTCTAATATGCGCAAAGAATTCAACGATTTCGCACGCGAAAGAGCTAAGTGAGCTTACTTCAAACACTTTAGACAACGACATTTCAACACAGTCCAATGTTAGCCCTTGGCTATTGGTATAGAGAAGGCCCACGCCAGCTTAAGCGGCATCTGCCTTCGTATTTTTGTACCACCAGAAGCAGTTTTTTATACCATTTTTCATGATTACATAAATATTCGCAATTATTCTTAAAACGCACCAACGAGTGCCATTTACCAGACCAGAAGAAATATTAAGGCCCCTATTATGATTCACAACTTTCAAGATAGTTGAGTTGTAAGTTGTAAACGTAGTTGTTTGTTATTTGTCTAGCACTAGCATCCTCGGGCTCATCGGTAAAACATAATTCGTAACTGATTTAAATTTTTTTTTGCTTTTCATTATTTTAATATCATTAAAATAACATAATATTATGAAAATAACAAAATTTCTATAGAATTTCCGACTTTTTCAGTGGCTACAGTCAACTGAAAACAGTTGTGAACGGCAATAGCAATAAATAGTTGAGTTTTCTCAGACTCAACTAAGTTGAGTTGTGAACCATTTACTTTCAAATAGAGACGAGAAGCTGCTGGCAACTGAGAGTCCAACTGCTTCGACATTTTCGCATCAAAATTCTCGGTCTGAAATAAAATCCTTTCATCACCTAAGCTCTCAAGTTTAGATTCGTTACACTTTTGAATTTCCGAGCGTATTGAAATTTAGTTTTGAATCTCGGCGAAGTGGGTTAAAGTGCTTTATGCAATGCGAATGCTCTGATCCAATACTTTTCGTGAAAAATCCTGTAAAACTGTCAAACAGCAAAATTACTCTCTGAAGTGAGAGTAAAAAGTAAAAACGCAACCAGTGATTGCTTGACACTTTTCATGATTTTACCAGAAGAAAAAGTTCGGGTAAAATCTTGCAACTTCATTCTCTTCACAACTCTCCAAAAGTCGCTTTCATTTACAGGATTTTGGAGGATTTTGGAGTACGGGAACATTTTTCCTGCAACTTCCTGCAAGTTCGTGTAAAATCATGTAAGTTCATGGAGTACTGGATATGAGCTTATATATAAGGTGGTGTTACTAGCTCAGGTGATTTTGTGTATGTGTTTCGCCGCACGGCTTCCGATATCAAATTGAAAAATTTTGTTTGAATTTCTACACACACTCTTACAGATTTTGACAGTTTATGCCGCCAAAGCAAAAACAAAATACATGTAAATTTTTGTTTTTGTACTCCTGCTATCACCTTATATTAATTCGCCTTGGCTTTATGTGTCGGTATAAACAACCCAACAAGCAAAATAAACTTGAAGAAAGTTTTTTCAAGTTTTCAATTATAAACATTAAGCTTACAAAACGTTGATTTTTTGTTTATAAAACGCTTGAAAGTAAGCGTAATATAATCGAAAAAGAACATTGGTTATAAGCGTAGAAATATAAACTTGTAATAAATGTTCAAAAGAAAGCTTTTTATAAGCGTAAAAGTGTAAACTTATAATAAAGGTTCAAAAAAAGTTGTTTATAAGCGTATGAATATAAACTTACTAAAAATTTTCAAAAGAAAGCTTTTTATAAACATTTTAATAACCCTTTATTTAAAGATATTTCATTAAAAACTCATACATAGATTGCTTAACATCTAGAAACTAAACGAAAAGCGAATTTTCGGAGGACTCATCTACAGTCGCAAAAATATAAATAGGGAATAGACATTTTAGCATACAAATTCACAATAACACATACAAATTAAGCATAAAAAAGTTAATTATTACATCTTGTTGCGTGCTTTCAATTACATGCGGTTATTGGCAAATTGGAAAAACGACATCGATGCAGCTATACATTCCGCTTCATCGCCGCCATTCTCATTGATATACTTTTCTGGAAAAAATTTAATACATTTTTAATTGAATGTTAAACTAAGAAAGGATAAGGAGAACTCATCATTTGAAGACTCGAGTGCTCCACCGATTAGCGCAGCGGGTCCTGGATTGGATTTTTTTTTACCGCATCGGTTTTATTTAATTTTAATAATATATTTTAAAAAACGTAAACACGTCACTTACGATTGAAAAATTTTATATTTACTACTTCATGTCGTTGGCATTTGCATTTCATTTATAAGTTTAAGTTATTTATAAACATTCGCTCCCAAAACTTATTAAAGGTTTATTTGAAGAAACTTTTAATGAGCTTAATATTAAAAATGCGCATTTAACGCTTATTATAGCAAAATTACTTTAAGTTATTTTTAAAAACATTTACTGAAATGCTTGTTGGGAAGATATGTGTCTTGCTTAATGTGACCAACCGTACTTCTTTCGGAAGTACAGTATCATACCTGCGCAGCTGCAAAGGACTCTGAAGGTGTCGTGCAATTGGTTGGTTGGCTCCTATTTATGCGAACTGCGTGAGGACCGGGTACATCCCAAAGGCTTCGAGGGTAGTCAGTGTTCCGTTCATCCCGAAGGCCGGAAAAGGATCTCATGTTTCCCCTAGGTATTTCAGGCCTATCAGTCTCTTCGTTGTTGCTAAAAACGTTAGAGAGACTGTAGACCTGTACGAAAGAACGCAATTCCTCGTGACTATCTTTTAAGAGCTCAATATGCGTATTGCAAGAAAAGGACGGTGAATACCGCCCTGCACACATTGGTAAAGTGGTAAGAGGAAGGCTTTACGCATGAAGATTATGCAGTAGGGGCCNCCCTCGCAGGCATTACACTTGACTGAGGTGGAGTTGTGGTGTAAACGTCTTCGGCATACACAGCAGGTGTATATTTCTGGCCCAGGGTTTGACTCGATGCCAGCCCTGAGTAGGAGAATGCGTAGTGAATGTTGCCCTATGGACGGACAACTTCTGAGATACTTCGCCGACCTAAACGGGGTTAGATCGCCGAAACAACAGCCCTTGGTCGGGTGAAACCCGAGTCATTCCGGTACGTAGAACCGGCTGTCGTGGGAACGCAGTAGGGGCCTTCTTCGATATCGATGGGGCTTTCAACAATGTCACTCCAGAGGCAATAGTCAAGTATATTCATAATTTGGGGGTTGAAACCAAACTAATAAGGCTAATAAGGTGCGTCTACACTCAGTGCTGAGTCAATAGGCGCACTCCACAAGGCGGTGTTATCTCTCCCCTGCTATGGATTGTGGTTGTAAACGACCTTTTAGATGGGCTGTCGGGTGATCGTTTATGTAGATGATGCGGAACTTTTGGTTCAGGGACGATTTCTATACATCCTTTTTGATCTGGCTCATGGTTACCTGAACCAGATAATTAGGTGGGCGATCAACGGCGGCTGTAGGGGAGCTATCGGTGGGGTCTCTCGCCCAAATTAATTCATTAGCTCTAGGAAACTAGATTTAAGCCTATATTGTTCAGTGAGCCCTTGTGTTGTGGAACTAACTAGAGAAGGCTACACTTGTAAACAGGAATTAGCGGAGCATTAGGAACCACACCTACACTGCGGATATTGCATACAGAATTGTCGCAGCACGAACTGCTATTAGGCTAAGGGAAACCGGGTCCTTTTGTGAAATAAAAAAATGAAAGGCGTTTCTCTGCTGCAGCAAATGTTTTTATAGGGCACTTTAAAACACGTTGCATCTCAAGGGCTAGTGATGGGGGTTCTGACAGGCCATTGTGCTATTGGTATTTATGCGGTGAGACTAGGAATTTCAACTTATCCTTTTGTATCAACTGTCAAGAGGAAGATGAAGTAGAATCATATCCACACTTTCTTTTAGACTGTCCAACCTTTGCGACGCTAAGACGGAAGCATTTCGGCTCGCACTTCTGAACAAATACTGAGCTCTCAGGGATCGAAATTAGCCGTATTCGAAATTTGGTAATCGGCTCGCGGCGTTAACTTAACCCAACCTAGCCTGTACTTCTTTGATATGTGAAATAGTTAGTTACATTAGTCTTGCTACTTCTTCTATTTTCTGAAAAGTGCAGACATTTAAAATACAAGTAATTTTTAGCAAAAAAAAACCGACTTCAATTCTCATAAAAAAAAAATATATATATATATATCTCATGATCCAATGATCGGATCTAAACCGGATTAGTACCTCTGAGACACTACCTTTCCGATGCAATAGGAAGTATTGAAATCGGTTGACGTGGTCCAAAGTTATGCGGTAACATACATAAAAAAAAAATATTCCGACGAACTGATAACCTCCTCATTTTTTTGGAAGTCGGTTAAAAATGATTTAAGATTACGTTATGCAGGGAGTGTCAGAGTAAAAATCCTAAAGTAATTTTTCACTTTTTGAAAATATTTTATGGAAAATAATAGGAAATTTTTATGATTTTATTAATTTTCCATAAAAGTATTTTTCACACTACAACAAAATCCATAAAACTCAAAGTTTCTAACAGG